TGAAGCGAGACACAGGAAACAGAAATACTGCAAAATAATAATAATAACGAGACGAAATAACGTTATAACATTTCGTCTCGTCTCGTTTTCGTCACGTAATAAAGGTTCGTTGACTACGATATTTAGTCATAATTTTCGTTGACGAAAGCAACACTAGCCCAGACACACAAAATGGCGACGGCCATTACTGGAAGGGCAGCAGAGGGTGGCAGAACCTATGAGATCACCGGTCTTGAGAGTGCTGAAACCACTGGGATGCCTGCCGCTTGCACCGACATTAGTGGTGGATTCGCCACACTGGACATCAGTCTCGGTTTCCTGGGCACTGCCTTATTAGCTTCAGGTGGAATGTTCTTGATGGCCGGGAACACTGGTGTGACGTCCATGAAGGCTGGAGACTCTGGCATGATGTCCATGACGGCTGGAGACTCTGGCATTATGTCCATGATGGCTGGAGACTCTGGTGTGGTGGCCATCTTGCGGAGAGGCTCTGGACTGGCGGCCAACTTGCGGAGAGGCTCTGGACTGGTGGCCATCTTGTGGAGAGGTTCTGGACTGGCGGCCATCTTGTGGAGAGGCTCTGGAATGGCGGCCATCTTGTGAACTGGCTCTGCTGCGGCAGCCATGTTGTGAACTGACTCTGGTATGGGAACCACAGGACAGGAAGGTGCTGAAAGCACAGGACTAACGACCATTATAACAGGAAATGCAGGTGACTGTGGTGGGCCAAGCTCCTTGGCCACCGGAGCTTGGTGTATGGAGTGCACTCTGGTGGCTATCAAGAGCACTCCAGCTGGCAATCTTGACATTTGTTAAGCTTCAGTGCCCATTTTTAGATTGCATGGAAAAGAGTGACCAGTAGGTACATTATTCAAAATTTCTCTTTTTGTTTTCTACAGATAAAACAGTCGTATGGGTTTGGAAATTTTCTTCTTAGATGAACTATTTCTTTAATGATATTAAAATTAAATTGAATTGTGTGAGAAGATTATGAAGTTACATCTTATTGCCTTCGACATACCATGCAAAACTGTACTGAGCTGAAAAAAAGGTGTAGGATTTACTTCGAAATAATTGTCACTCCGAAATTGCTAGTAACTATCACAAATAATAACAAAGAAACAGCAAGTAACAAACTGAATTAAATGTGAGATTAGTAAAGTAGATAGTTTACCAATATTTTCTTTGCAAAACATACTCCAATAATCTTGAAAAAGATGACCGCAGCAAGCATGCTGGACTGCCCAAATCTCAGGCCTGTCAGTCAGAACAGACAGCAGATAGCGTCCACTGCCACTAAAAACAGCTGATTCAGGGAAAACCACAGTCTGTCCCACAAAGCTCATTTTAGCATAGTTTTTATTTTGTAAACCACATTTAGTCTCGTTTTTATTCGTCAACGATATTGCATTATACATTTAATTATAGTCATCGTCACATGACCAGCATTTTCGTCTCGTCTCGTCTTCGTCACGTAATAAAGGTTCGTTGACGACGATATTTAGTCATAATTTTCTTTGACGAAAGCAACACTAGCCCAGACACACAAAATGGCGACGGCCATTACTGGAAGGGCAGCAGAGGGTGGCAGAACCTATGAGATCACCGGTCTTGAGAGTGCTGAAACCACTGGGATGCCTGCCGCTTGCACCGACATTAGTGGTGGATTCGCCACACTGGACATCAGTCTCGGTTTCCTGGGCACTGCCTTATTAGCTTCAGGTGGAATGTTCTTGATGGCCGGGAACACTGGTGTGACGTCCATGAAGGCTGGAGACTCTGGCATGATGTCCATGACGGCTGGAGACTCTGGCATTATGTCCATGATGGCTGGAGACTCTGGTGTGGTGGCCATCTTGCGGAGAGGCTCTGGACTGGCGGCCAACTTGCGGAGAGGCTCTGGACTGGTGGCCATCTTGTGGAGAGGTTCTGGACTGGCGGCCATCTTGTGGAGAGGCTCTGGAATGGCGGCCATCTTGTGAACTGGCTCTGCTGCGGCAGCCATGTTGTGAACTGACTCTGGTATGGGAACCACAGGACAGGAAGGTGCTGAAAGCACAGGACTAACGACCATTATAACAGGAAATGCAGGTGACTGTGGTGGGCCAAGCTCCTTGGCCACCGGAGCTTGGTGTATGGAGTGCACTCTGGTGGCTATCAAGAGCACTCCAGCTGGCAATCTTGACATTTGTTAAGCTTCAGTGCCCATTTTTAGATTGCATGGAAAAGAGTGACCAGTAGGTACATTATTCAAAATTTCTCTTTTTGTTTTCTACAGATAAAACAGTCGTATGGGTTTGGAAATTTTCTTCTTAGATGAACTATTTCTTTAATGATATTAAAATTAAATTGAATTGTGTGAGAAGATTATGAAGTTACATCTTATTGCCTTCGACATACCATGCAAAACTGTACTGAGCTGAAAAAAAGGTGTAGGATTTACTTCGAAATAATTGTCACTCCGAAATTGCTAGTAACTATCACAAATAATAACAAAGAAACAGCAAGTAACAAACTGAATTAAATGTGAGATTAGTTAAAATTAGTTTACCAATATTTTCTTTGCAAAACATACTCCAATAATCTTGAAAAAGATGACCGCAGCAAGCATGCTGGACTGCCCAAATCTCAGGCCTGTCAGTCAGAACAGACAGCAGATAGCGTCCACTGCCACTAAAAACAGCTGATTCAGGGAAAACCACAGTCTGTCCCACAAAGCTGACCTTCCCCGCTAGACAAAACACAGGCACAGCCCAACAGGATGGAGGCTGATTGGATGGTGTATGGAAAAAACAACATGGCTCAAAGAACGTTAACTCCATCGCGTTTTATTTTTGGAGGGCAGCAGTAGTAGTGGATACAGACACACAGTGGATAAACAATATTGATTTCACTCTGAGGTCTTCATGAAGAGTTCAAAGGTCAAGCACACACTGAAATGTAGCACAGTGTTGTGTAGTGTGAGCACATCATCCTGTTCATACAAAAGGGCAAGATGCTCCAGAACCTGTCAGTTTGGTTTCATGTGAATCCAAGTAATACGTTTTTAAAGGCTAGAAATCATAAACAATACATCAAATAAGCTTGAAAAAATAGTGTCAGTTTTTATAATGATATTAAACCTGTATATTTATGTAAATAACTGATATTGTACCAGTATAAAAATCTGTTTTTGTCATTATTGTGATATTCATGTATTCAACAACAACAAAAATTATGTTATGTTATGTTTGTTATGTTATGTTATGTTTTATGTTATTGTGAAATAATGTTTGTTGCTGTTCCTAATAATATTTTTAAATAATATTTGGTTAACCTTTTTTATTGGATTTATTATTATTATTATTATTATTGTTGTTGTTGTTGTTTTTTATTGTTGTCTTAGAAATTAATTTTAAACTTTAAACAATAGACCTCTAACCTAAACATTCATCATTAAATCTGGTGGATATAATAGACAATCCCTAACAATTATCATGTGCAGCTCTATCGATCCATCCATTCTCCAAATGGCTTTTCCTAGGATAGCGAGGATGCTGGGGATGCTATTATTGATAATCTTAACAATATGTAATAATATTTAATAATTATTATATTATTTTATTTTGTGTTGCAGTGTTTTGTTGCTGTTCCTAATAAAATGCCTGTACTTTTCTTAAGAATATTTTATGATGCTAAATTCTAGTAGTATAGTAGTAGTAGATTTAACTTTGATTAATCAACGGACCTCTTTCTGAAAACGGTCATCATTAAATCTAGAGTATGTAGAGAATAGACAGGCCCTATCAACTATCGTGCAGCTCTAATAGTTCCTTAAACACTTGAATCAAATGACTAATGACTGGGACTCTTATCTGTAATCCTAGCTCATCTTTCATAGGTCATCTATTGTGCTTGACTGCTCTTGGCTCTTCACTGCCTAACAACCCATGGGAAACTGTTTGGATTCTGACTCTCTCTCTCTCTCTTTCTCTCTCTCTCTATCTACTGTAACTGTGCTCTTACTTTTTTTGTTGTTATTTCAAAGAGTGAGGCATCTCACAGAGAGCCTAATAGTTCAACGTCCATACTGTAAATGTGCATTGTTAATAACTACATTTTCACACAATGTGGCAACAAAATAATGTGACAACCTTTTAATTTCAGTAACATTAGATGTAGTAACAATTCGATTTAAAAACTATACAATTTTATTTAAAAATCATGTGTATATACACAAAATGTCAAGAAATATATATTTTTAATACAATTATAGTTTTATTATATACATATATACTACAATCATTTAAAATTATTTACACATCCACTATTATTATACACCAACAATACTGACAAAGGACTCAAAAGACATACAACATTGTTCTTTCTAACTTCCTCTACAGTGCCTCTGTATTTCTACTGAATTACTCTTGACAGTTGAGAGCGAGAGCAAGAGAAATACAGTTGTCACAGTAGTGAATCACATGACTCCAACAGGGTGTGACTGAAGATCTGTGAGAAGGTTGTTAACACCTTTACTATCAAGGCCTCTCCCACTCGCCCCATGGATAAACCCTTACACACACACACACACACACACACACAAAGGTTGCTTTTACACATTCTCGTTTAATCATCTACTATTGCAAACAGAAACATATATGCCTCTGACTGTCCCTCTCAATAGATGAGAAACTGGAGAAGGCAGTGCCAGGCATAAAACCATAACATTAGTTGTAAACCATAAGTAAATAGGCCAAAATTTAATGTAATGTGAAGTAAAAAAAAAAAAAAAAGATTTTTAAAATTTTTTTTAAACTGCCAGTGTCAGCCTGACAGTCTTGAGATCTTAAAGCCTTTAATATTTAATTCATAGCCTACATCAGACATACATTGGGTGATTAATATTTAAATTTAATATGTAATTTTTTTTTTTTTTTGTGGGACACTAAGCAATGTGGTGATTTAATGTCCGCAATGACTGGTCTTCCAGGGAAAGGCCAACACCCTGCCTTACAATATGTCATCAAAGGTAATGAGTGTTTGATCACTTCATCATCATTCATGCGGCAACAACTTTATGCACAACACAAAGCAAACGAATCTAGCAATGATTGGTCTACAAGAAACATTGTTTGAAGCAACCTGATGAGCCATGAGCAAATATCTAATATGACGCTGACCAATCGCAAACACTCTTCTTTTACACTGCGGAAGCTGTCCAATCAAATAGACATAATCTGATGGCACCGTTGAATTATGAGCTTTTTCTAGACGGAAAGCAAACTAGTTAAATTATTCTGTAGTTGTAATTATCAAATAAGATATGGATATGTCAACTCTAGTGGTTTACTTAATGTGTAGATGATTGCCTTGTCCAAGAAAACAGTTTAAAAGGAATACCAACAACAGCACACAAACGATTAATAATGATAATGTAGAATTAAAATGAGAACGCTGTCGCTAAAACCATTGACCAGTGCTGTTGGATTATGAGACCATAATGGCACAGACATTGTGTCCCTATCGTGTTCGTTGAATTTGTTTTACATTGTGGGGTCAAAGTACACGGAGGCAGCCTGATAAAGACTCTCTAGTGGCCTAGCATGTAATAAATAGGCTAGTTTAAGATATTTCATATATAGGCCTACTGTGGGAAAGCATTTATTCCCGTAAATAATTTGTAACACTGCGATTTCGATACCGGTGTTCAGGTTTTTAACATGTTTATTTTGATCGACGGCGACGTTAAATTTGCTTTCCTTATTTCAATGAACAGCAGTGATAACTGTGATATGTCTGATGTGTGTGACAACCGCTCACTTCTCTGAAATGCGTTTCTCCCATACTCGCAATATTCCATATGTAAAAATCATAAGCTTTTCATTACAGTTGTCGCTTTAGCTCACTTTAGTGCTTCTGTAAGGTTAATAGGTCTCATTTAGCTAATTTGTGATTTTGTGTTTTACGAAAAAGAAAACAAAAATGTTGTTGATGATGATAATGATGTATATTTGTTTGCTAACAACAATGCGACTTGTTTATTGTATTTGTTTTAACAGTCTTAATTAGTGGAAATAGCCTACTGCGATTAGTTCTAAACAATTATCACAGATGCATATCTATATCTATATATTTCTTTATTTATAAATTATAGCGTCTGTACTAATTTATTGACAAATACTCGAGCTGCAAGTGACTACGAAAAAATGTTTTAATTATCATTTTACATTGCACAGTCTAAATTTTCTCATATAGTGACAAGAGCGATATTTATTTTAATAATAATCCTTAATAAGAAAAACACTGCCTAAAATGCATCATATAAAACAACAATACACAACTTTTTTTTTTTTCTTGTAAAACATTTTTAAAACGGCTTCAGATACCTGTTTTTGACACACACACACTGTTCGGAAATTATTTAGCATTGTATTATTAGGCTATAACTATCGTTAATAATATAACAACATAAATAAATATGACTTTTTTTATTTAAACATACATGAGTATTTAACTCAATTATGTAATAACAACCCATAACTCAAATAATAAAATAGTTCCGTGTTGGTTATCGAATAAACTGAACATCAAAAGAGTCAGAGACCCTCACGACTTTAAAATGATTATTCTAATTGGCATCCTCCAGTACTTGATCAGGTCACAATACAATGCATATTCTGCTTGAATTAATTATCAGCTGTTCAAAGTGAAGCATTCAGTAATACCTATTGCCCGCTGGGTGTTTGTGTAGGATCTCTTACAATCCTCAACGATGCCCCATCGTCTTAGATGAACTAATTAGCAACGAGCCTAATTTGCATAGCACAGATGAAGTTCAACATCAAAACAAATAGAAGAATAAATTATTTCATCGTTCTGTTTTTGTGACTACCCCTTACATTACACAAATCTTTACACAATAAAACTATAATATAAGATATTATTCCTAAGAGCTTGATACCATTCAGATTTGGAAATGGATTTAGTAATCGAAAAGGTATTTTGCTCGCTTACATTTTACATAACTGTAATATAGACCTAGCATACATTTTTGGCCGTATATAGGATACTTATTTTTTTAATTAAAAAAAACCAATTTTTTTTTAAAGAACTGCTATAAATTAAACCGATATTTTATGCCGGCAAATTAATGAATGACACCACTTATGAACCGCTTATAAATTAGCTATTGCTTTAAATGACAATTTCAACCAACTTGTACTTGTCTTTTAGGGAAAATATATAGGCTATTTTGTTTGTCCGAAAAAAAAAAAATCCACTGAAGCAATTAAAAATGTTCCGTCCCTTTGAGAAAATGTAGTCAGATTTGTAAGACTCGCATTTTCCTTTCGAAATCAAGGACATCAAAACTAAGTAAGGTGGAAAGTGAAGCGCAGCACCCCTATCGAGCAGATGTGTTTGCTCAAGCTGGAATCCAATCAGAGGCTCGGAGCACAGGAGGCACCTCCTCTCTTAAACATCGTCACGAGTGAACAGAGAACTTTCATTCCTAATAGTTCTCCAAGTCCTGCAACCACATAACCGCTGGATCCTGCGAACACCAACTTATGGCAAACCACCAATAGGTCAGTGGCGACTTTTTTTTTCTTTTCACATATTCTTGTCTTGATTATAAATGTCTTCTCCAGCTTTTGTCAAACCTCTGGTCTTGGTGCTGTTTTCGATGCCAGCTGAGGAGAGCTTAAATAATTTCGGGTCTTTTTTTTCTTTACCCTGCCTCTCTCTCTCTCTCTCTCTTATCTTTTGTGGGTCTTATCAAGTGGTTATCTCTTTTCTGCAAAGACATATTACGTTTTGTTTCCTATCTGTTACGTTGTGTGTGTGTGTTTCTTTTTTTTTCTTTTTGGTAATTATGATGAGGCTACATCAAGAGGGAGGACGGGCTCATGACACGGATGGATTCAGATCTTCAGTGTAAAGCCCTGTATGGGTGTGTATGTGCGTGCGCATGTGTTTATGGGAATAGTGAAGTTGTGTGCATTGCACGTCATGCAGCTTAACTTTTAAATTTAGAACATTACAAGAAGGCAAAAGAATTATGAATGATTTGAGAAAGTTTGTACCATTACGCGCGTTCTGAAGTGAAACTGTTCCTCCGCGTCAAAAGAAAAATTGAACATATTTCATTGAATATGATTAAAACCCAGTAAGGATTCGGAGAAACTTTAACAGTTGGTTATTTGCTTAATGATTTGAGATCCTCTTTGACATTTATTGTCTAAAAGTAAAATATGTTCGTTCTCTCGTTTCTTTCTTTTTTTTCTAATTTAGTATTCTCTATAGCCCAACGTTTCTCAAATTATTATGTTCTCTTTTTCAGTGCACTCTGCCTCTGTATTTTCCACACACTGTGAGATATAAAAGGGATCCTGGATGGACCTGGGTGATAACAGCTGGTCCATGGTCAAGCGCGAAGTGTCCAGCAGCAGCCCAGGGTCTCCGGCTGAGCAGAGCTACCTGAACACTGACCGGAGGGACCAGCTAAGATCACCGGCGCCGACGCACCTGGACGCGGTGGGAACCCGTCGCGCCGAGGGCAGGCCCCTACACTCCTACGTCCACTTTGGCCATCCCAACAACGCCCTGCCCAATTCTGACGACGTTACACTCTTCACGGATTTAGACCAGGGCAACAAACTCATCATCTCAGGTGGGCACACCAGGGAGACGCATAAGGGAGGCTTAATTGTGGACTCTACCGACATGTATCAGACCCTGGCCATCGCCGCGGCCCAGAGTCAGGCCGGTTATAACGACACGCCATCGGCCGGTTACATGCACTCCAACCCTAATTCTCCCGTTTATGTGCCGACGTCTCGCGTTGGAACGATGATACCGAGTTTATCGTACCTACAACCCAGCGTGTCATCGCAGTCGAGCCATGCGGTCAGCAGTCATTCGGTCTGGTCACAGTCCGCCCCAGAGAGCCCATCCTACAGCACTGGAAGCCCACATACCTCCAACCGTTTCCACTACTCCCCCAGTCCGCCTATGAATAACGGCACATCGAGGGA